ATGTGTGTGTATGTATGTGTATGTGTGTGTGTATGTGTGTGTATGTGTGTGTGTGTGTGTTCTCGTTATTCGTACCTGGTGGGGACTTGACCCTAACTACACACCGACCCGTGGGGACTCATTTCACCGTGGGGACCTCACTTGAGGTCCCCATGGGCACAGGCCCACCAATAGCTCTAAAACAGTATTTAAAGATGGCTGGTGAAGTTTTCTAAGTAGGTCCCCATGTGGTCAATTTCCAGACAAAATGTGTGTGTGTGTGAATTCATGCGACCCTAATGGTCACACAGCGGTATTGCAGTCCCCATTAGGTTCGGTGTTCTGGAACTGTGTGTAGTCATTTGTTCGCTCTATGGCGCCCCCTATTGAACAAGACCAGTATTACGCTTTGAAAATGTATTGTAAAAAGTGTTCCTTTTTTTAGCAAAGATAGACATTATTATATAAATATGTATAAATAAAGTAATTGCAAACATGCTCTGTTATTAATTAATGTAAATTTTAATATTAAAATCTATTTGCAGTTCACTTATATATATATGAACAGAAATAATGTACAGTATTTTAAATATTTTCAAGTCAAATTAATTATGGTAAGTAACTCAGTGAATAATTATTTTGTTGCAGTGAAACTTAAAACACAATTTTTGAAAGAGGAAATAAAGTAACGATGATAAATAGGGCATTAAAAACATTAACAATAAAAATAAAGTAAAATACGGAAGTAGCAGTAAAATACATACAGTATGCAGATGAAGGTATTGGGGTATTTGATACACTGCTCATAAATTAATTAGAGGAACTCTTTGAAAACATCAGATCTCATTTGGAAATAAACATCATGCTGGATATCCATACTGATATGGAACGGGTAATGAGTTAGGAACAAAAGGATTCTACATCAGTTGATGGTAATTAAAATAATCAACCTAATTCAGAGTCACCAAGAAATTAAACTGAAAAGCTGATGCAGCAGGCTAGATCAATTTGCTGAAATTGGTCATTGCAGCAACTCAAAATGGTACTCAGTAGTTTGTATGGCCCCCACATGTTTGTATGCATGCCTGATAACTTTGGGGCATGATCCTTATGACATGACACGTGGCGTCAAGGATTGTCTCCTCCCAGATCCTGACCAGAGTTTCACTGAACTCCTGAAAATTTTGAGGAGCAAAACATGATGTCCCAGAGGTTTTCTATTGGATTTTGGTCAGGTGAGCGTGGATGCCAGTCAGTAGTATGAATTCCTTCATCCTCTAGGAACTGCCTACATACTCTTGCCAGGAGACATTATCATGCACCACCTAACCACAAATGTCTGCATAAACCTTCATCTCACTGCCAATGTTAAGCTACACTACCACTACAGTTATTCTGTACACATCTTGCTTGCAAGAAGCATGTAAGCATACAGTCGCATTCAAACACTATCAATGCGCTGCTCATGTGTGTAATGGGTCTTTTTCCTCAGTCCTGGGGTTGTAACACCACAACCTCCTCAGTCCATAATCAGAGAGTGTCTATTTGACAATAACCAAAATGTCTTTGGATAGTCTTTGTGAATGCAAAAAGAAAAAAAAACCAATGGTGTTAGCTGGCCAGCAAAATAAAGAGAGTGTATGGCACTGAGTGCGGGCATGTGTGTGAGTACTTCAGTCCAAATAAT